AAAAGTTTTTCATACTTCTTATCCAATAAAATAAGTAGTTTTAAAATTTTAGCTATTGATAATTATTTCTTAGGAAGTGACAAAAAAAAGGTAGACAGTCTTTCAATGTTCACCTTTTATTCAGTTTGCGAACGATAATAACTTAAAAAGTACTGTTTTTTATCGTATCAAACGTTGTCTCGGACACCGATAATGTAGTATTGACTATATTGTGTCCGGTAACGTTCCAGTCGCTTAAAGCTTTAAAGATAGCCGTCAGAAGTTACCAATGGATAACATATAGCCATTTAGCTGTTCGTTGTACACATTTCCATAAGAATCAGGAGCCCCTATGTAGAATTTGTATGCTGGATAAATTGTCATATAAGACAACATATTACAACTACGTTCGATGTACAGCAAGTTAACAAATTCTTAAAGGTAACAAAATGTTTGTTACATATAAACACATATCTACAAATACAAGTAAACTAGTCACTTAATTGTTAAATATTTCTGATTATCCCTTAAACTTATCATCAACAGGGTTTGATATTTATGCTCAAGCAGTGGGATAAAATTGTCCGCTGAATAAACATTTTAGTTTTAAGTGACAGTAGTAATCATGAATTTTGTCTCTTGAATACTTTACGTATAAGAAAGTATATCATTCTTTCACATAAAAACAACTTATGTTGCTGACCAGTTATTCTGTCCTCTCATGTTTACTCATTGTAAACTTGGGCTACTATTCATTGGATTCAGGTATTGTGTGTTATAGTCTCAGTGATGTTTTAAAACAAGCTTATTTATTGTCAGGCAGATTAAGCTTGTTATCACTAACTGAAATCTAAGGTAGATAAAGCAATGTTTACACCTACAATCTTATGATTAAAAATCAATCGCTTTAACTACTTACTCAATGGTTGAGTTTTGAGTACACAACTAATCCAATGTGAAAATAATGTTTTATTCTTTTCAACAAGTTAATTTATTGACATTGAATACAATTATGAAATTTATTTATTAGAAAATATTTCTCTATTTATAGACTAAATTTTTTATGAAAAATTGATATTATTATAATCAAATGGAAGTAATTTAACTTGTTACATGAAAACGAGAAACAGGATGTTTTGAATAGTAATCGTAATAGTAATATTGTAGTGAATGAGAGCACAGGTGGGGGCAACCGATTTGTGTTTAACGAAAATTACAGAGTTACTCAGTCAAATCGGAAAACCATATCGTAAATCGTTCATTTGCAAAAGATCAGTTCATCCTATGGAACTGGACTGTTTCTGTTGCCAAACATCAATCCATTGTCACTATTCATGCGTTTGATACAAATTCCATTGTTTTCTAACTCTTCCTTTCTTGATCTTCCCCCCGTATTATGCTACCAGACTTTACGTTGACACTCACGTTATATACTACTTATAAGTAGTTCGCACCACAGCACCACAATATTATTATTGTTATCATGAATATAAACTACAGACTAGTCAACAAACTTACAGAAACTGTTAGTTTTCCTATCTTAATGTTTAGCTTGTACTTTACTATTTATATTGTATCGTGTATATGTTTCTTACTATAACTACTTTTGTTAATAACACTGAATTCATGTTTCAAAGTATCTTCGATTAGTGATATCTTAGCTTTAGCAGGACGCACATATTTTGAATTTTTATTTTAAGCTAGATGTGACTGAGTTTGTTGAAATGTTTCTAGAAATGTTTCCGGTAAAAACACATAGTGAAACTTATGTATTTTAATTTTTTGATTATTTAATTCGAAACATTGATGCTTTGCACTACTTTATGTCTCATCATGCAAATTTTATATTTGAACAGACTCAGTTAATACAACTAAGAAAATTTAAAAACTTATTTCTTCTTTTTTTTTCTAGTAATAATAAAATGACTTGTTGAAGTTGTTGTTGCCTCAATGATCCCTTTCTTATTGTTCTCCATGGTAGTTTCTTTCCTAATGATCCGATCATGAAAAGCCTGGAACCTATTTCTTAGTGCCCTGTTGAATTCCCGAAGAGAGGCCGTATTAAAATTTTGTGATCGTGTTCGCATTGTTGTCTAGTGCTTCTTGCGTTTCGGTTTCCTTTTCGCACATCAAGTGACAATCTGAAGCTAAGTCACGAAGTTGTTAATCCTCCATCGTCCTTCTGAAATTTTACTTGTTGCAGATGTGGTCGATTTGGTTCTTTGTAATGTGATTCGGTAAAATCCATTTCCTTTTGTGTATGCGTTTGTGTGGGAATAGTGTGCTGCCGAAGACCAGTTTGTTGAAGGCACATAGGTTTGCAAATCTCTCACCGTTTTCGTTCCCTTCCCCCAGTCCATGTCGTCCAATGATATCTTCATATCCGAACAGCATCAGTCCAAATCCTTGTGTGTGTGAGGTGTTTCCTTTTTTATGACTGAAGTATAACAGTAGATCTCCTGAAGCTAATCTCAGTTGCCCAATCTGCGTTCAATGAGTTTCACTCATTCCAAGCACTTAGAGGTTGAATCTTTTCATTTCTGTAGCAACTTGGAATAGTCTTCCGGTCTTCGACAATGATTGAAATTCCATGTACCTAAAAGAATATTTGCATTGGTTGTGTGAAAGGGCATCAGCCTCATGACTTCTGAAGTGACTCGGTGTAAGATTCATTTTTGAAGGCTTTGTTTGTGAAAATCCCTCCATGTATACATTTGTAATTTGTCCTTATTGATTCCTTCAGTTGTAGTTTTTGTTGATGTGTTCGATTCCATTTGAGATGATAATATTTGTATTTTATTATAGTTTCTATTTCTTTAGCCTTTACTGAGTTTCTATGTTTCTTTCTGAACTGCATTATGTTGTTTAAGCTGATACTCAGTCATGTCGACAGTCATATTGATTTGTTCCTCTTTTGACTGAGTTGCTTGCTTTGAATGGAATTCTGCATTTTGATTGCGAATTAAAGCACTCTTCCAGAATAGGAAACACTGTGTTCTAAAGCAACCAAATATTATCTTTCGAACGAATCCGATCTATCCAGAAAGGATAGAATAACATTTATTTGATGCTACTGATTCGATAAATTGGTGTAGTTGGTGGAGTTACTGAGTGGTAATATTTGTTTAGGTAATGATGTACATTCATATTTGTGATGAATATTAGAACCGTCATTTACCCAACCACTTGTTTTGATTTCAACTTGTCAAGGCGCGTATCTAAACTGCCTAGACAGTTATTCTTCAGTTCAAGCCTCATTTTGGATACTATACTCGGCTTTCATCATGAGACGTCATAACTCTTCTGAAAGAAGACCTTCTAACTCCCAGGGATCGGGTGGCCAACCCATCGCCCGACTCCACAGGGGCAACAGGTGTTGTATATTAATGAAGACAGTAATTTCACTTTAAACATTTGCGGGCAAAACTCTTGTATAACTGTTCTTTCAAATCTTAACAAAGGTTGATACAAAGAACAGTTTTTTTAAACCACTTTAGAAAGCTTGTGGGATTAATAGATATCTTTTGTAAAACTGTAAGCGAATTTTTCATACTCTCCACGTTTCTACATTCTTAAATATTAAAGATTCCTACTGTGAATAAGAGAACAACACATATAAGAGAACAATATTAATTGGCTTCCTCAATGTGCATTTATAAATCCAGGTACTCCTGCTATGTTGGGCTTACTACCATGGAACTGAACTGACGAATGAGTGAACATCTCCCAACATAATTGGGAAATGGTCAGATAAAACGGCTCTCTCTTGGCACACCTGATCAGTGGTGGTCATAATATAGATAAAACCGAATCATTTTGAGTGACTGATCATTTAGCTCCATCATTTCCTAGCGGAGTTCGATCCTGTCGCTTCCATATAACAGAAGCCATCGGAATCCAAACATTCAACCCCAGTCTATGTTCAGAAGTAATTCGCGACACCACCATTCCTTTCTTGGCTGGATATAACTTGTTAAACAATTTTATTTACTACGATTATTATTATTATTTCCCCTGTCATTTTTCTTTTCGCCTCTTTCTGTTTATATCCTTCACCGTCTAATTATTTTAAACTTTTCTTATTAAGTAATTATAACAGTGCTTTGCGATTACTACTTTAAATCTATTCATTCATGTTTGACCTAGTACTTCTAATGTTCAACTATTGACAGAAACTTGTGCTATTGTATTTTATTAACTAACAGTACCTCTGTCTTTCTACTTTCTACTTGTATTTTTACCTATTATGTGTAGTTTCGTAATCTATTTTCATTTTGATTATTGACTCATAAGCTGCTTTGATTGGTCTAACATTTTTAGATAAATATACATGTATACTAGAGTTAAGCCTGATGATTATTTAATTGAAAACAATATTGTGTTGTTTCTACATCTTTCGAAACTACATCTTATTGAAAAAAATTAAAAAGCGAAAATCTCATTCATCCTTATATAATAGAACTTCTATAACACTAATAATTATTCTGAGTAGGAAAAATCTAAGCAAAACTGAACATTTAAATTCAATATTCTTTTCTGTTTCAAATTTGTCGTTTTGATGTCAAGTTAAAGTTTGTTGATTTCAACTTTATCGAAATGTATTGATTTCGTTAATTAGTGTTTGCTCAAAAATAATAGGAACATGAACGAATGAATATTATGCCATAATGATACATTAAACTAGTTATAACCTACAATATACACTACATAAATGTAACATTACTCATCGCATAAAATTGATATTTTCTTCAAAGCAATCGCATTGGTCCTCTTGAGTTTACTACTTCTAATCCAATGGAAATTGACTAGCTTTTACCAGTTCAATTTGGATTAGTTTGTTATAGATTTAGGAGAGATTATTCATTGGCTAATAAATGTATCATTTAAGGCTAAATAAGCATACTAAGCAATAAAAATATATACCGTTGTAAATTTATGATAATAATACCAAAAATAAAATAAAAAACCACAACTTGGATTAACTTATGCCTTCATCAATGTTTTGTTGAATGTATGAGAATATGGGTATACCCATTGATCGATTCGTTAATCCAGTTGATGACAATTTAATATGTGGTATTTGTCATGGAGTATTTATTATGCCAGTAGTCACAGAATGTGGTCATACATTTTGTGCTAATTGTTTAAAAATATGGTTAAATTCAAAACTGGAACATTTAAATCATTTAACAATCAATGATAATGATCGAGCACGTTGTCAACTGACATGTCCAACTTGTCGAACAAAATTAAATGTGAATAATCATCAACAAGGCAATATTACACATTCTACCATAAATACAACAAATATTATTAATAATAATAATACCACTAATAATTATTGTTTTCATGATAAACCAAATATTAATTTATTATCCATAGCTAGACCGGTACTTGCATTAAAGAATTTTTTAAATTCATTACAAATCTATTGTGAACATGCTAAGCGTGGATGTACTACTATTGGCACTGTGGAATCGATACATTTCGGTAATCATCGACATGTATGCGCTTATGTGCCAGTTGATTGTGCTGGATGTGGTAGAACATTAAACAGAATTGAATTGGCTGCTCATCAGTTAGGCTGTTTTGGTATACAGGTAAGAATGATTCTTGGGATTTTAATTATTTACTTATTTATAAATTGCACTATTAATGAGAAAACGTATGATTTAATTTTCAATAGTATTCAGCAATAGACTTAACAAAATGTGTTTCGTTCTATTCGTTTATTCACATGACTCATAGATATACATGCAGTCCTAAGTACTTAGTTGTCGACATAACTATTGTATTATTATTATTATTATTATTATTATTATTATTATTATTATTATTATTATTATTATTAGTCACTGGATTATCTGTAAGTGATAAAATCTGCAATTGTTATACTAACAACAATTGCATTTCTGAGCATATCGAATTATCGTCACTTATATATCAGAATACTTAAAATTTAATCCTTCTGAGAAAAAATTAATCTTTATTCTAAAAATATTCCACAATGCGATTTGGGCGAAGCAAATTTAAACTAATCCATTAGCTGAAATGATGTTTTTTTTCAGTCAATCTTTTCAATAATTTACGTGATGGTTTGTATGACGCTTGGAAAGTTCTTTCAATTTATGATATGAAACTCGAATAGTTTGATTGTATTTCATGAATTTGAAACTTATAGTCCTACTGAACAGTGCCGCAAATCACATTGAAGCCCAATAGGTAACAGAACAGAATTAACTATGGATGGTACTGCAAATCTTTGTTGTCTTGTGGTACGCTATTACTTGGTTTTGATTATTATAATAATCACGGTTACTTAGCATCATTTGTGGATAGAAATCTAATCACTCTTTGTTTAAAATCTAAATGGAATCACTCAGATTCCAATAGATGGGGTTGATAACTTTGATATATTCAACATTGGACATTGAAAGTTAGATTGTTAATTTGAATTAAAGATGAAAGATTAACGTTTCAACATTTGCATATCGATATTTATTTTTTGCATACATATGATGCATTAATGCATATGAAGTTTACAATAATGTCAACAGTTAAAGGCAATCTGGTGAAATGGGGTTTACCTCAAAAATTAATGCAGTTAGGGTATTAATTTAAATTTTATTCATTTTTTGTTTTATGGACAGCATTACTGATACCAGTGACTTTATGATTATACCTACCATCAATTTATCACAACTAAATAAAGCTTATTTCATCATTACCTTGGAAAATAATGACATAATTAGTTGATATCATTGTAATAAATTATCATATCAACTCTGTCGTCATGGTATTCTGAATAAACATTCAGAATAACACTGGGAATAAGCTAGCTGCTATTGCAACAAACGTGTTAATGAATTTTTCACATTTCTCTCTATACTAGAAACAAAACTCACTTTCCATAAGAATCAATACTATAAGATTTTAGGTTCACAGTTTCGGTCAACTGTTCCTGGGAAAATGGTATCATCAACCTGAACATAACATTGAATTACTAAATTGCAACTAATTGTTCCAATGATAGCTAAAGGATTTATTGAAATTTGTTAACTAACACGTTTATAAAATCTAATTTCTTTATATTTAGGTGACTTGTGTAAAACTATCGCTCCTTTGATTTAGTTTAGAATGAAACAAATAACAGTCAATATTCACATTTAACGATGATAACTAACTAGTTCTTCTTAGAACATTTATTTAAGTTGTGTTTTTTTTCAATATTTAACATTAGTTAACTTATTGTCATAGTGATGATGTTCAGCAATTATCTTTTATGTCTTAAGCTATCAGTCCTAGTAAAAGGTGTGATAAAATTTTTCATTTTCTGCTCCATTTACCTTCTTTCATTTAATCTTTCAATCAATTACAATTGTTCTTTCAATCATTTTTAGTTATCTCTCTGAAATTGTAGTAAATTATTGCATCTGATATGTGTAAGATTGATAAGTTAGCTGTTAAAAATCAATAATAATAATGTCATTTATTTTTTTTTTCCAAATGTTTTTCTATTTCAAACGTTATCTTTAATAACTATGTGGTGATTTTATATCGTAAATCGTTATAGTATACAAATATTTCATGTATTCATAAGTTGATTGTAACATGTGAAATATTCTTAATTATAGGATGTCATGAAGAATGTTGTATTTTACAATTTACAAAGCTGAATAATTCAGTTCAATCATTGAAAACGAATCCAATGATTCATAGTTATAAGAAGTCTTTTAAGCCATTGAGAAGCTACTTTATTCTAGTCTGGACTCCTTCAGAAGTATATTTCTTTGTTCCTAATTAAACGTTTAACATGTGTTTGAACATATATTAGCAAAGAAAAATATAATCATAGTAATTTCATTATTAATGATAGCAGTACTCAAGTAAACATTCACTAGTTCAGAAACTTTACTGCAAATTTAACATTTCAATATGTTATCTATTTGATGTGAACAAATAGGAACCATAACTAGTGAATAAATTTTTGATGAATTTTGTGATCGTTTCAGTTGCAGCTTACAATTATTCTGTTTAACTGAAGTTTCATTAAAGTAAACAAACAATTTTCCGTAAAATTATATACTGTGAAAATATACTGGACTAGATTTGACTGGATTCACTTATAGGCATTCTTTAACTAAAAATTGGTCGCTCAATTTGGATGAATCTTTAAAATAATTCCGTAATATTTTCATTATAGGATCGTTGAAATTAATGAGTTTCATCAAAATGTTAGGCCACAATTAAAAGCCTGAAAGTACTGGACGGCCGTTTCGTCCTTGTATAAGATTCGTCGCCGATTCCCGCCTTCGGAGGTTGTGTA